GCTGTTTCCTTTTACTGACATCTCCTGGATCCCCCGTACTTATCTTCTCCATACTTGTTTATTTTACAGTTCTGAAGTTCCTTTCTAGCAAACGGATTATATAGAAAATGTTATATATACACATGTGCATGCATGTGTGTGTATCTCCATACTTTCATGGTCTTGCCTGGCAAAGAAGCATTTCTATTATGCTTTCAGATCAAGGTCCATCAACGTGGGCTTTTTTCCCTCTTTTTGCTATTTTTTTTATCATGGATTTAGGTTATTGCCTGCCAACATTTACTGCCTGAAGCTTCACTCTAGGTCTGCAGCCCTGTGTTAAGCAATGCCATGCAGTGCCTGTGCAGGGCGGGGGTGAGAGCTGCCCTGGAGGCAGAGGTGGCACCCAAAGGGTGGGCGCGTGGCGGCCGCTGCCGTGCCGCCGGTTGCAGATGACTGACGTTCAAGGGCCGACACAGCCAGCCTGGCTCCCACTGAGTGGAAGAGGCCAGCAAGTCTGCTGAGTGCGTACCTCAGCCTTCTGCAGATCTTAATCACACTTAATTTATAACAGCGGCAAAATCCAGTAACTTCTGGAGACTTTTTAAGAACACTTAGCACAGTCCAAATAATAACAGCACCAAAAGCTCGCATCATAAAAATCTCTTAGGCTAAAATGGAAATAGATACTTGCAGAAGATTTTTCTTTCTTTCCTTCACACAAAGATTTGAAAGGGGAGAGAAGTATCACAGATAGGCAATTCCTTTCAGAGGGGTTTCTTTATATATCTCCATGTGAAAGCTGTTGGTAAGGGAAGAAAAAATAAAGTAATGCTCTGAAATAAAATTTGTACAGATGTAGCTTTTTTTGAAATGACATCCCGTTTCTCAAGAATTCGATGTAGCCTTTAGTCAGCCTTGTTCCTTACAGTTCTCTGTGCTTTGCATGGTAATTAGCTGCTCGTTTTATCGGCGGGGGGGGGGGGGGGGCGGGCGGGGGCCTCACCCCCGTTATCCTCGGCGGCAGCTCCTCGCATCCTCCTGCCAGACTGTATGGCAGCCGCATGTATGTGCAGATGTTTGGCGTTCTTCAGGCTGCGCTGACTGAGGAACGAAGGTAATGGGCACAGCATCGGAAAGGGAAGAGACCGGAGCCCACTTCCCCCGACAGCTCCCTGAGACTTGCCAGTATTTCGCTGATGGTTCATTGGAGGTTCAATGAGGCGAGTTTGTTATGACAGATCGCAAAATGCAAAGGGAGGCAAATGAGCTGGGTTCATCAATGTCAGAATAAATACAGGGTAGCAGCTCCTCGGCTTAGTTGGGAACAGCAGCCTCAAAACCTCTGTTTTGTTTTAATTTTTTTTAAAAAAGTAATTAAAATGTTTATTGCACAAGTGTACTGTGGCATGCAGGCTATCGAGAGGGTGGAGGGGCTGCTTTGCGTGGATTGCCGGTACTGCCGACATCAGCCTTACGCAGGAGCTGCGTCACGCAGCCAGCACCAATGCAATGGTGTTTGTACCCTGTGCTGTTTGTTGACTGCAGGTAATGCAATCTCTTCTTTTAATTCAGATTTCAAGAAACATTTACCAGCTTTTTTTTTTTAATAATTAAAATAGGGCCGTGAAGTTAAATTCAGGTTGCCAGATTCCCAGGCAGTGTGGATTCCTCTATAATGTGACTAGAGATGTAGCCGAGAAGAGCTTTTAAAGTGAGAATGGGGAGTCTTTTCCATACCAACATCTACAGATGCTTTTCAGACATACCTTAGGTCCCACAATAACACTCTGCATTGTGTTATATGATATCATGACGAAAAAAATAATACGGCCCCAGGCCATATGAAATTGAAGTTGCTTGCTGTGTGCAGAGTGTAGTCTCTTAACTTCCCCGCCCTTATTCTAGAAAAGTTTGATATCAACAGAACTGCAAAATCCTTACAAGTATTCAAAGCAAAAATAAATTAAGACATTTATATTTGGCACTCAAAAGATGAAGAACAAAGAGGAAAAAATAGAAATTGAGATTTTCTCTAAATATTTTTTTCAGTTTTGCATATCTTGTCGTTGGTTTTGTGTTTCCAGCTTTTTTTTTGCCTTTTTGAAAGGCAGTGTGATGATGCTGAGAGAGAGATGTGAAAAGTTTTTTTACTCCCTGCCCAGAGATATGATGTGCTAGGGAGAATAGCTGAAGTTTAACTTCTGTGGTAACGGAAAGTGTAATTTCTTGTTGATGAGTATTTGCAGACTTATTTCATTACACTTCTAGGAGGGATATTTAATTTTGTAATAGAAGCTTGTTTCTAAACCTAGTCTGAAATAGCCCATTGCCAAATTTACCTTCGGTAGTTTTGTCTTCACACAAGAATAGAGAGCATCATTTTACCTTATGTTCAATATATTGTATACAGCATAAGATGGTAGGTCATCTCATCCCTCCTTCTGTAAGATGGCAATGGACTAGAATAGCTAGCTTGAGGTCAGGCAGTAAATTCGTTGCTCTGTAAACAAGGCGTTCATGATGAGGGCTTTACACTCTGCACTGTTGTTAACGGGATAACAAGTCATAGGCTGGGGTTTGGGGAAGGAAAGGGAGAAAATGGAGGGAAACCCACAGAGAAGAGAGAAATAAAAATTAGCTAATATGAATTTTAAAAATCTTAAATATCCAGGGATTGTTGTGGTGTTTCTGTCTGTCTTGTTAGCTTCATTGGCGACATGAACTCTTGCACTTGCACCCCTGCTTCAGCAACAGGAAGGTCGCACGCGGTGTTGTGCGGCTCCTCGGGGACAGGGCTGAGATCAGAACAGGGCTATCTGCTCAGGGCTGCAGCTTCTTTTCAGCATCTGTACATCAGATATGAGTGATTCTCCAAAGGCTGACTTTATAGCATGCTTAGTTCCTTTCCCTTTGAAATCAGTGGTGTAACTCCTGGTGAACTGTAAAGCTGGCGGACTGCGTTGCACCAAAAAGAGTTAATGAGATTCATTTGTTTAACAATCAAGGGCCATATTCAGCAAAGATTTAGCAGGAGTGCTGACAATAAAGCACTTATGACTTTCTATGAATTGGCATGAAATAACAGCCACAAAAAATTATGAAACATAAATTGCTCCCTTGCTTATGCATGACTGCTGTACTTCCGACCTTGGTTACAGCTGTTAAGCTGTGAGCAGCTGCGGATCCAGACCTCCTCAGTGACTCAGCTCAGGCTGGGGAGCGGCGGTGACAGCGTCCAGGACTTGCACAATCACAAATGCTCCCTTGCTTATGCATGACTGCTGTACTTCCGACCTTGGTTACAGCTGTTAAGCTGTGAGCAGCTGCGGATCCAGACCTCCTCAGTGACTCAGCTCAGGCTGGGGAGCGGCGGTGACAGCGTCCAGGACTTGCACAAACTGGCTAGTGGTATCATTTGGGCCTGGTAGGCACAGAGGTATCCATTTTTGAAAGTGCTTCATGACTTTTTGGGTGCCCAAATGCAGATGTGGTAGAGAAGTCTGATTTCCAGGTGACAAGAGCTCAGCACTTTGGAAAATCAGATTGCATTGGTATTTCTCCAGGTGGGCACCTGAAAACTCAGAACCTCCAGGTGGTTTTTGAAAACAAGAGGCGAAGACCAAGCTCACCTCCCTGCTAGCTCTTTGGGGACAGTAATTAATCTTATTGGATTTGTTTCCACCCCCCTTCCCACATGGGAAGACCTCAAGCCCCGGTCTCTTGCTTTCTGAGTTAGTTCTGTTCTGCAAAAGGAAGAAAACCTTCCTTTGGGGAATTGTCAGGGAATTTAGTGTGGTGAAGTAAATCCCCCGAAAACTTGCTTGATGCAGCAGCCACCTGTATCTCGTGGAGAGCTGCAGGAGATGGGCACCCCCTCAGCATCAGTACCTCCTTCCATGGTGCGCCCTCTCTTCCCAGTTGTGCTGGGCAGCGCAAGGGGACTGTGGGCAGGGGGCAGGCAGGAATGGGGGGGCATAAGTATGGCAGACTGGTGTCTCGTGCTGCCTCGTCTCGGCTTTAGTGTGGGAAGTAAATCCCCCGAAAACTCGCTTGATGCAGCAGCCACCTGTATCTCGTGGAGAGCTGCAGGAGATGGGCACCCCCTCAGCCTCCGTACCTCCCTCCATGGTGCGCCCTCTCTTCCCAGTTGTGCTGGGCAGCGCAAGGGGACTGTGGGCAGGGGGCAGGCAGGAATGGGGGGGCATAAGTATGGCAGACTGGTGTCTCGTGCTGCCTCGTCTCGGCTGGCAAGAAGTTTGGGTACTAATGAACAACCAAGCTGAGCATGCAGGTGAGGCACCGGCTGGATGGTTCCTATAGGGGGATAGCTGCTCTGCCAAATCTCTGATTTCCCCTCTCCGGAATGGCTCTGGAGGAAGCTATACCGTTCAGGAGAGCTGAATTCCTCTGCGCCCTCAGTCCCACAACGTACGGGTGGGTTTAGGGTCAGCATTTTAGGAAATCGTAGCCTCCTCAGGACTGCTGTGCTGCCTAGCCTGCGCTCAGTGTTGCAGCCTGCGTTGCAGTCTCTGCAGCTCTCCCCTCAGCATCACAGTCGCCTCTACGCTATACATCGTCAGGCTTCACATAGGCAATGTCACTGCAAAGTCTTTCCTGCACAAAGGATGCGGAGAGATGTTATTTATTTAATATAAATAAATGCACATATTGGATCTATGTACATGCAATAACTGTTTTGCTTATGCTTACTCATATGCGGTATATCCAGAACAGCAGGAACCGCACCCAAAAGTGGTGCAAACAAAGTCCTATGAATTTATACAAATATGTTGCAACCATACGTAAACACTGCAAATATTACATCTTCCTGTGGTGCTGATGGGGAATAATTTGAGAATTTTAAGCAGTGCAACTTTCAGATGCTGGAAAGATTTGGCCTCATTTTGAAACTGTAATAGAGGTTGGAATATATTTCATGTGACAACCATGTCCTCAAACCTGCTATTTGTTATTTCTTTTTAAAACACAAATAAACTATTTTCTCATTTTGTTTACAGGACAGTGGAACAGGAGATAACAGCTGCATTGAAGAAATATTGCGGGTAGGAATCCCTAAAAAAACATTTTCTTCCAGTGCCATTTTGTTTACTCTAAAAGGACAAGAGAATAACAAGAATATTGCAATTACTGCTGTTAAAAATATTACTCTTTTAGATTGTCATCTTTCTAAGGAAAAAGTAGGCAAAATTATTTCCTCATGAAAAATAATTGAAAAATCTGTGAAAACAACCTTCTAGAGCCTCTGGATTTCACTGCTACTTTGTGCCAGTACGGCTGACCTTCATGCATGCAGAAGCAGATAATGGGATAAATTATAAACTGAAATGTACGATGCCGTTTCAGGTTTACAAACCATGCAAAGTGCATGTTTCCATTAATCATGACTGTCAAAAATCTTAATTTTGAAGGGAGGTCTAGGAAGGTCATTTTCCACCTGGATTTAATTAGAATCTATTATGTAATGTCATTATGTCCATTATGTCCATTATATAATGACAATGTGCAAAATCCGTAGTTATTTCCATATTTCATTATTTTTTCTTTTATCTTAGTAATTTCTAGTTTATTTTCATGAAGCAAATTAATACACATCCAGACAGATCTTGGCTTGAATCAACTTTGATATTGATTATTTTCTGAGGCAGACAAATTTGTAAACAATGAAACATTTCCATATATTTTAACTCGTGGTTGTTTTGGTTCTTTTTCTAAACTGATAATTCAATAATTCACAATGATTATAAATCTGATATAATAGTGAGTGAAACACCAATCAGGGCAGATGGAATGGTAAAACCTTCCTATTACTGTGTGCGCTTCCACCTCTTGGATATCGACTACCCAAATATTTCAGATTGTTTATAAACTACGGGGCTATAAATATTTGGTTTAGAGATTAGTAGTGCATTAAGCCTGTTGTTTCTAAAGGCATTTCTCCATTCTCCCTGAATATGTTAAATACAGCTTTTACTTCTAAAAGTGGACAAAGAGTTTATCGAAGGGTAATGATGATGGATTGCTTATGACTTCACTGGCAGCGCTTTTACCTAGCTAACGTTTACAAAGTAGGCTTTTGTAGGGCTGAACCGCATATTGAACAAGCCTTAGCCTCAGTCCCTGCTGTTTCATTACAAATTAATAGCAGATAGTATAATTCATGAGAGCTTTTTACATTTTTCACGATGCACTAAGCATATGATGTGATTGAGGCTCATTCGCCCCTTTTTTATGCAAGGCTTTTAAAATGAACAGTCAAAAAAGCTAGTATTTCTCCTTAGGTTGTGCAATTTGGCTTGTGCAATTAGCCAAAAAATGTAGAAGAGACATGGTTCCTTCCACGCAGAGGAACATGGATATGTAAGAGACCCCAGCTGAGAAGAAAAATGCACTGTATGACTAGAGATGGTAAGGTGCATCTCCAAACCAGTGAACACAGCTGCTGCTCTCTCTTTTTTTTCCCTTGGGAACGTTCCTCAAGAAATACTTTCGTGAAGCTTCATGATGAAGCGTTCAGGACATCCTTGGATGGGTAGGACCCTTTTGTTTGTGAGGATTTATTCACAAATTCTTTCACTTTGCTTAAAAACAGAATAAAACAACCCACAGCTCAAAAGCCACACTTCGCATCAGTATCACGCTATCTGCTGAGGCTTAGCATGGCTAAAATAGAGAGCGCACCGTTTTCATCCCCTAGCTCTTGTCCTCACATGAATACTCAGTCATCATGGGTAACCCCTCCAATCTGTCCATTCTCCAGGTCTGCAACCTGGGTCTCACTTTCTATTCTGAACTTCCCTTGTGTCTCTGTGTCTAAAACTACACGTATATCTTGCAGACTGTTACTCTATAGCATTTCTAGCTGAAGCTCTTTATTCACAAAGGTATAAGTCTCAGGTCCAAATTCTCATTACATACCTTGATTGCTGCAGCATCCTTTCCTTGGTTTTGACAAATGCAGTGTTACCCACCTCCATTCACGCTGCTGTGCAGATCATTTTCCTAGCTTGACATCTTGCCCAAAGACATTTGTCTTTACACCTCACCACGGTCATCTCCTTCTCTATCACATCAAGTACAGCTATTTGTCTCTGATTTTAAGGCCTCAAGTCTACCAGCTCGTGCTAACATATTAGCTCCCACTTTAGCTTACCTGGTGATGCCAGCCTCTGCCACCCTGTTGCTAAGTTTTACATCAATTAATTTCTCCCATGCTTCCCATCAGATCTGGGAACAGCCTTGAACACTTTCCTGATTAGCTCCATACCTACCTTCAGATCCTCTCTTAAGATCCTCCTTTTTCACAAGGACTGTGGAAAAACAGTGGTGAGGTCAGGGCTATACCACTGTTTCTCATGCTTGAACATTGTTGTCCCACTTATCCCTCGTAGTGCCCCGTCAGGCCAGATGTATTCATCTGCTCTCTTTTGTCCTGAAAAGTGAACTTTCTGCATCAGGGAACTGCTGTATAGTACAAAAGCAGTTCTTAGGTACTCTCGCAATACAAATCCGTATCAGCAGTGGTTGCTGTTACTGATAATTAGTGAAAGCAGCAACAGTAATAATGTGCCATTGCTATTCACTTTGTAGATTACTGGCATCCAGACTTTTCCAGCCCTCTCCGTGCCCTCTTTTTGTGCTGAACAGATCCATTCAGTTTTAACACAGATTTTTGGTTTTCTGAAACAGACTATTTGTAAGGAATGCCATTTCCATTTTTTTGTTGGAGGTGCTATTCACATAGTAAAGCCAAAGTTTAGCTCCTTTTCGGACAGAATATATGCAGTTCCTGTATGGGTGCCCAGAGGCAGACAGTGAAAAGCCACAGGAGCTGCAATCCTTGTGTTCCCCTCAGAAAAGATGGCTCTTTGCTGGCACGCTGAAATGTGTTTATTGTAGGAAGGGCCACTCTACTATACGGAGCATCAGCAAAGAGAAGAAGATGCTTAAAATTTATCTTTTTAAGGAACATTGCACCCTATTTTAGCTGTCTCTTGCACAACACAAAGCAGAAGACATCCTCTCTTTCTAGACAGTGTGCTCCCTGCACACATCAGGCTGTGGCTCTTCCAAGGGATAGCTACTTCCACAGCATGTCCGTCTTTCCCCAGTCCAGACCAAGGGCAGTAGAAAGCGTGCCCCAAATCTGCTCCATCTGCTTCCCTGTGCTTCCTTCCCCCAGCGGGTGAGAGGAGGCAAGTGCTGGTTTGTGGACAGATCTTGTCACCCTCTGGTTTCAGGACTTGGCCAGAGCTAACATCTGGCCCTGGGCTGCAAAATCAGTTGAGGCATAGCTTTAAAATCACCAAATCTTATTTTGCACTAACTGTGACAAGAATTTGTAGTCTTTGTGCTGCCTGGTGCAACGCAGGGTGCCACGGCTTAAGTCTAGCCTTTTTTGATGTTGTTTTACTAAATGTATCAGAGCTCTGTGGACTTTGTAAATTGACAGATCATTCTGCACGAAACTGCAGCTTCCAAAGAAAGCCCCCAAGAACTGAGACGCAGAACCGCTTCCAGTCCTGAAGGAGGTTGATTAACAAGACAGTAACCCTGTCGAGATTGGAGCTGTTGTAAGGACTCCTGCTAAGTTTATAATCACTGCAGGAATCCTGAACCTCATCTAACCCCATGCACTAGTTTATAGCAAGTTCTTCAAAGTGTAGTGACTTCTCTGTCCCGCTGCAGGCACGCACGTCGAGGATAGAGAAACTTCTAAGAGAGCCTTCGATGTAAATAACTCCAGTAAGACCAAGTTACAGATGTAATGTCAAATCAAGAGAGAAAAGCCTCATTACTTGACAGTAGCTGTAAAAGGCAATTCTTTGTAAACTTCTGCATTGTTGGTAGAGGACATGGTAGAAAACTTTGAAGCGGAAAATAAGAGTTAAGGCTACACAAATACCCTTTATTCCATCGTGCCCTGAGCAGTAGCTACCTGAGTTCCTGAGACACTGCCAAAGCCAACCTATCTACTTCCTTGCTAAAACACAGGCTTGCTAAGCAAGATTAGTAATTTTGGCTGATTTCTATTTGATTTTATTAGTGTGTGGAACTGTGTATTTTGTTGTGACTGGTGGGGTTTGGAGTAAATATTTATTTTGCTGTGGTACATGGGAAAAATGGGAGCAGCAAGAGTCTTGCCTCTCCACTAGGTTAACTGTTGCAACCAATATCGGATGCACTCAATATATTTGCCATGGATTTAAGGAGAAAGGGATTGTGTCAGGTGCAGGCAGTTCTTGGTTTGTAAGGTAAGTGGTGGGAGATTGATCTGACTATTCTTACAGTCTTAGCTGCGATTTCCTAGAGTTGCGGTGGCTTTGTTGAAAGGAAACCCACAGACAAGCTGAGCTTTTAATTATTGAAGATGTTCCTTGTGAATTCCCTTTTTTTTTGTGTTGACATGAGAGGTGTCATTGAACTGAAGAGAGGCAGACATAGTGTGTTTGACTGCAGGATGCAGAACTGACAGAAAGCTGATGGACGAAAGCAACAGGAATGCAGAGAAAGGGCTAGAGGAAAACCTGGGGATACTGGTGGATGAAAACCTGGACATGAACCAGCAACGTGCGCTTACAGCCCAGAACGTCGACCATAACCTGAGCTGCATCAAAAGCAGCGTGGCCAGCAGGTCGAGGGAGGTGATTCTGCCCCTCTACTCCGCTCTGGTGAGACCCCACCTGGAGTACTGCATCCAGCTCTGGGGTCCCCTATACAGGAAGGACATGGACCTGCTGGAGTGGGTCCAGAGGAGGGCCACAAAAATGATCAGAGGGCTGGAACACCTCTTCTATGAGGAGAGGCTGAGAGAGTTGGAGTTGTTCAGCCTGGAGAAGAGAAGGGAGAGACCTTATTGCGGCCTTTCAATACCTAAATAGGGCTTATAAGAAAGATGGAGAAAGACTTTTTTCCAAGGCCTGTAGTGACAGGACAAAGCATAACGGTTTTAAACTGAAAGAGGATAGGTTTAGATTGGACATAAGGAAGACATTTATTATGATGAGGGTGGTGAGACACTGCAACAGGTTGCCCTGAGAAGTCG